CCCCAAAACCCCAAAACCCCAAAACCCCAAAACCCCATATAAGGAATGAAGACTAGAGCTATAAATAATATCATAAATAATATCATAAATAATATACCAAGTAATGGACTACATCACTACAAATTCCGAAGATAGATTGTTTGATCAAATCAGCCTGGAGTTCGATCATGTAAGACGAGAAAACCTATATTGTGAACATAACCTTGGTTAAAAAACCCAAATTTTGGGTTTAATAAAATGCTAGAGGATTAACTCCTACTCGGTCAATTTAACTCTTAATAACAATATGGACCACTAGTAAAGTTTGCAGAGCTTAATCTCTACAACTTACTTTGAAGCTTATTAACCATTTGCTTTTTAAAATAAGACAGTTAATTCTGGAACCTCCCTAATGGTTTATCTAGAGCAACTCCATTGAAATCCCAGACGAAGGTTTACTTAACTTTTTGAAAGATCTCTGTGAGCCATCGGAGGAAACTACTCTGCTCCCTTCGATCCAGATTGAGGCTGGTGAAGCTGATGCTGGAATATTCTCTCAGAGTTATCAGCCCAACAGCTTGTTTGATAAAAACCCAACTTCAGCGACTGAAGTGAAGAAATCATTGGAGGATTCATCTTCCGCAGAAGTTCTAGACAAATCTAAGAAAAGCCTTGTTAGCTCAGTGAAGAACAAAAGGCCAGACATCCAAAACAGAAAAGTTTTGAGACTTGTCAAAAAGTTCTTCTGTCAACTGTTCCTATATCATAACGACAGACTTCAAAACAGAAGATTCACAAAAGTTCCTTTCGAAGAGACTTTGCAGGCTTTGGAACAATTTGCTTCAGTCTACATTCACAGAGCTCCAACTGAAGACATGGCTCAGTTCCTGTTTAGATTCATGAACTTAAATTCCTCTGATGCTTGACAGCTTGACTCCCAAGCAGCACGTGATGGCTTCAATGGATTCAGATGATCCCAAAGCTATCGAAGTTGGGACTTCCAATGTCTGAGCAGATCTGAGTACTTTCAGCATCTCATAATTTCGTTCATGGAGCTAAGAAACACTCCTATATCATCGGTAGTGGCTCTCCACAAGTACTGAGCATGGGAAAACCAATACCATACAGAAATTAAGAAGTTAGAAATGGTGCTGTTAAGATTATTATACAAGAAACTGCCTATTTCTGTTGAGGACGGCCTAGACGATGTTCACCAAAGATGAATTAAACTAGCAAGAGACAAGCTTCAACAGGATGAGTATTAATATTAATTATAATGATTTCGCCTCAGCTTCTTTCTTTGGCTACTACAACGTTAAGAATAAAATTTGAAATTAACTTCTGAAATTTTAGGACATTTAATCGTGGTAGGATTTCTATAATTTCTTGATTCAAAGTCTGAATCTTGCTTTGTGTACAGAATAACCTTCCTCGCTCAGATTCTTTGCTCTGTTGAGTGTTTAGAATACCTTCTTTTTAGTATGAAACTCCTTTATCATTATAGTACTAATTTGGAAGAGTTTGAAACAGGCTTAAAAAGTTGTGAATCCTTAACATATTAATTTTTGAATAACGATTGATTTATATATCATTTGAAAACCCAAGTATTCCAGTGATACTACAGTATACATAAAAGAGTGGGCTTACTCTGGATTAAGAAGTTATAACACATTTTCATATGCATCCCAGCAAGCTCTGTAGATTTTCATAATGGGAGAATTTAGTAGCAGCAAATACTGAGCTTCAGAAAAATGTTGCAACATAAGTTTCCTTAATAATGCAATCTCCCATATCCTTTAACACCAATAATTTTCCTTAAGTTACTAAAAGATGATTTCCTATTGAGAACAGAGCATCAGGGATGGAGTCATTGGGCCAAAAAGTGTTTAAAAATCATCGAAAACCCTAACCTTCACAATTTTGATTGGCAACCTTGACATATTTTGGGAATTTAATAATCAGATTTTCCTGGAAATGCATATTTTCATAACAGAGGCTGATGCTTTCTTTCTCTTATAGTGCAACTTTTAGGAGCTCAGCTTTTGATTTCTTTAAAAGAAATTATAAAGCTCTCTTTCAGAAAGTCTTGAGTTGGTCAGACCTCTTGTTACCATATAAATTGTTACTGCTTAAAGCAGGTAGATGAATTACTCTTGAAACTTCTCTGAAGATGAATCTGGCATATAAAATAGTTTTCTCTAGCATCTTGAGAACTGTAGGGAGTCTTTCGCTTTGAGATATTTGCTAAAAAAGAATAGATAATGTTTACTAGTTTCAGTTATACCTATGAAGTTTAGATTCATGAACGAAACGAAAGAAGAAATAGTTGATTCTCAATATCACTTCAGAATCAGTCTAAGAAGATCTTATAGGTTTGTGCATGATTCTTCTCATTCATTCTTGTGTTACTTCGAACAGGAACTCACAAATGTATTTGAGTGAGTTGAGACTTCATCCTACTTAATGTTTATGGCTAAATTTCAATAAGAGCTTCTCTTTAGAGATAGCCAGATTACTATTCTTAAGTCCAATGTTTAAAAAGAAGATTATTCCAATTATTGCATTTCTATCAGAAGGATTTCCTAAAATAGCACATTTACCATTATAATTTCTAGGATGGGGTTGTGCAAATGGACAAGAAGATTTACTACTATTGTAGTGTATGAGTCTCAAAAACATTCAAATCGTACATAAGCAGCCGTACTTGTGATTTTAGAGACTTGGAATATTAAGATGTTCTTCAAAACCTGTTAAAATTATTCACTTTTGTTCAATATGGACTTTTTTCAAACAGAATTCAAAGTTTCAAACTTTGAAGTACTTGCGAATGTTGAAGTCTATAATTTCTCCTTATCTCTAACTCTGACTAAGTCTGTTAGATAAGAATTTGATATGAGAAACATTTTACCTGATTCAGATTAGAGGCAGGAAAATTAATAATCAATAGAGAACATATTAACCAGAACCGAGTTTTTAAGGATCTCCAAACTGTAGCTAGATCTAAGTGAAAAGAGTAGGCTACTAATTTATACCTGCCTGATTCCTCTGAAGGATTAACAATTTAAAGTAAAAAGGAAGGATTAGACACCCATTAATCATATGGGACTTCAATAAGCAAGTAAGTTCTTCATATGATTCAACCAAACGATTATAGTTTTGAAGTAATCTCTGACTAACAGTCCATCTAGCAAAATTTTCTTTGACGATATTGTTTTAGAGAAAATTTAAATCATATTATGGGTGACGTTGCTGAAGGGTTTAAAGAAGTAAATAATACTTCTTTAAACCCGCCAGCATCTTCACCCTAATATGGTTTAACCCCCGAATCGAGAACTATTGCATGGGTCCTCGATGTTTTCAAATATTGCTCTAGTGCTATTGTTAATTTTATTAAGTTCATGAAGTTTTCTATTCTATATATAGAAAATGTTTCGGGAAAAAATGACAAACCGTCCAAAATTAAAAACAGTAACAAGTCTCCGATAGGATTTTTGCTAGGATAATTCGTAACTATAGAGCTTTCTAACTCGGAATTTTTAGCTTAGCATTAGCAGGATGCTTCAGGAACAACAATGAAGATAATTTTTTGTTTGTATAATAGCCCCAAAATCTTGAAACATATTGAAAATATAGAATAATCTAATTTCAATTTATATCACAAACTTTGGGGTTTTGGGGTTTTGGGGTTTTGGGGTTTTGGGG